GGGTTGACCCAGGGAAAGCCGTGGCTGCCCCATCCCTGGAAGTGTTCAAGGCCAGGTTGGATGGGGCTGTGAGCAACCTGGTCTGGTGGAAGGTGTCCTTGCCCATGGCAGGGGGGGTGGAACTAGGTGGTCTTTAATGTCCCCTCCAACCAAACCATTCTATGATTCTACAATTCATTGATGAACATATGATTTTAACTAAAATGAGAAATGACTGTTCATTAACTGGTTAACAGATTCACTTTTTTTCTTTTTTTTTCCCCAGAAATGGACTTCAACCCCAATCTGAATTAGGACAAATCTATGAAGACAGCTCTGATTGATTGATAGAAATTATAAGGTTAGATGACTGATGTTCTTGGTATTTTAGCAGGATAAACACCAGACCCTACATATCATGACAAAACCTGAATAATTCTACTAATATGCTTTGCACAGACAAGTCGCAGATTTGTATATATTAGGTCTCTCATCTGAAAAATGGTGCTAGTGGTACTTGCCTCTCCCTTGAGAGGTCAGCCATAAAAGTTAGAATTTAGGAAATGGTAAACTGTTGAGTAGAATATGTTTTCTGTTTACTGGTTTTTACTAACAAGTATATTTTCTGAACCAAATAATCTCTAACTGATGCCAGAGAAATAAATATTTATGTCTAGCATATCTCTTTCAGATTTTTTTTTACCTGTAAATTCGTAACAGTCAGGAGAGATTTTGAGGAGTCAAATTTCTGTAAGGCCTGTAAAATGGACAAAGCCAAAAATAAGTAATATGTTACAATGTCAGTATAAAATAAGTGAGTTAGGAGAGCACTGGACAACTGTAGTGCATTTCCAACTGTACTTTAAGGGCTCTGAAAACACCAACAATTATTTGGCTTCTACAGGCTTTACATTTCTGAACCATAACCCAAGACCCAAAACTATCCCTACACCTCCTACACCATTCCCCAGGATTCTTCAGCTTGTAGCAAGGGGAGAAAAAGGCATAAACCAACAAAACCAATTTTCCAAATTCTAGGAGCTCTATAGACACCAACCATCAATTGCCTTTATGTTCTTTACATTTCTGAATCCCAAACCTAACTCCAGACTTAGCACACGCCTCCTCTGCATAGATCTGTGAATCAAATGAAAACAAGAGCTACAAGTCAAGATGAACTTGAGACCTCAGCCTCCTTGAGGGCTCTTAAAACAATTATCTCTTTGCTTATATGTGCTTTAATTTTCTTAACCCTAACCTTAATTCTAGTCCTTGCTCAAAAACTCTTTACCTTTTCACTAAGGGACAAATCAGTCTATTGAGGGGAAGGAAAAGGCAGAGGTAAAGATCATTTCCAGCCTTCGTCATAACCGACAGCTCTACACACAACTGGGTTCTATGTGGTTTTTATTAACTCTCTGCTCCAGATGTAGCCCTCTATCATCTCTGTCATTCCCTGAAACATGGGTCCTTCTTATTCTGAGAGCTGTGCAGAAGTCCAGCAAGCATTAGCTTCTACACGCGTCACACCCTAACCAGAGACCTAACGCTGAACCTCCTCTGCTATTCACCTGAACACTCATCTGTGAACCCAGTTAGAAAAAGACAAGTGACAAATCAACCAGACCTCATCCTAACTGAGCTCTTCAGACAACGTATAAATTCAGGAAAGGACTTAAACATTCATTTTAACCTGACTAGCATCAGTAACAAGTAAATGCATTCTACTGTAGCCATGAACAGGGAAGCTTTGTCAAATCAACTCCAGTGAGGATGCTGATAACTCTGTATGGCTCAACCTAGTGAGAATGCAATGTAGCTTGTGCTCTAAGGAAAATCACTAGATTTCAGTTTCTTAACTTCCCATGCAGTTAGTATGGAAGTGTCATTGGCAAATTAAAAAGGTCCCCTTTTTTGATAAATATTCTAATTTTACTTTTTATTAAGTTCATGTTTCATGTAAAACATAGTACCATTGCAGGTTATTCCAGGACGAGTGCTTGTCCATATTTCTGGTTTTTTAAATGTAAACATTTGACATGCTATCATAAACGTCATTGTAATTATTCCCTTATTAATTAGCTTAGACATTGATTTGTTGGCTATTGCCAAAAAAGATACTGCTGTTCTGTGCTGGTTATAGCCATTGTGAGGCTCCAACATAAGAGTCAGGCCATGGGTTGGCTGGAAACTCTGTCTCAGGGTTTGGTGAGGTGGGAGGGGGAAATTTCCCTTCAAATCAGCTCATTAAACTCAATTTGCTCGGCAGTGTCAGCTTCACTGTCTACAACACAGGGTAAGGGAAGCAAAAGTGAAGTCATGGAGGTAGGTTAGGAATTCCCCTTTCAGCACCAGCCTGTAATTATCACCAGATTAAAAATATCATCCTATTGCAAGTATAGAATGTGCCTGCACAACCAAGTTAAATCCAGGCTGCTGTCAAAAAGGGTGTCCCTACCTGTCCCACTACTCTTCTATCCCATGTTCAGCCCAGCTCCCTAGTGCTGGCACCCATACTTTGTCACGGGGTGACACCTACCCAGAAGCACCACTCAGATAAGGGAGACCTTAATTACACTCGTCCAGCAATAACTCATTAGATTATTTTGGTATGTGCTTGGAAAACAAGGAAAGGCTACATCATTGTTATCGGGAAGGCTTGCCTGATAGCTCTGGCCTGATCTGCCTGCACAGGTATGCTCACAGGTAAAACAAAGAAGCCCAGGTCAATTGTTAACAGCTTCATAACCTTGTAGCCTATTAGTGATCAAGGAAACATCACTACTTGGCTTTAGATATGGAGAAAATCAAAGGGATTGACCTGGGGTGATATGACTGTCAAGGCTCAGAGGGCACCAGTAGCTCTTACAACCCAGCATCTCCTGGGGCTCCCCCCAACCTGCCCATGGCCCACGGCCCCATTTCAGCCCCCCAGCGCCATCAGTCCCTGCCCCAGCGACACCAAGCAGGGCCGCTCTCCAGCTACCCCCCGCCCCTGCCACAGGGCCCCCAAGCCAGGCCTACCCTTGGGCCCAGATCCCAGCCCAGCCTCGGCCAGACCCCACAGACCCATGCAGCCATCCTGGGGCTGTGTCTGAGCCCAGTTCTCCTCACCAGGCCTGATCCCGACCCCCGCCGGCGGGCTGATGTCCCTGCCCAGCCCCGGCCTGTCCCCGGCCCCATGGAGGTGCCCAGTGCCCTGGGCTGGGGGCTGCCCCGCCTGCCCCTCAGCTGCCCTGCTCCCAGCTGGGGCAGGGGAAATAACTCTCTCCATATTTTTTATGTCCATGTACAAAATCACACATTATGTTTTCAACAGTATTATCTGCATTACTCACCATATAAAACAGACAGCACAGATGTTTCAAAATATATTTTTGTTCCTGCTGTTCAGTGAGAGAAATTAATGTCATTCAATGCCTACTATTAGACCTGCCCATTGAATGAAATTCAGGAATTTTTTAGCAATGTGTAATAACTTGCAGACATGGAGCATGTGCAGTTTCATGAAGAGAACTGAGTGTTATAGTTTGATGTTACACTTTACTGGTATTTACCTTCATTTGTTCAATTTTTCTGTATCCTGCAGGTATTTTCCATGGAATTCTCTCTCCACAGTTAAGCAAAGACAATTCATTAAAGGCCTCGGTAAAAAATCCTATATCTGTAAGTACTTTAATCTGTGAAAAAATAACAGAGTCTTTGATTTAAATAATTTTCAATTATTCTTTTTGCTCAAAATAAAATGTATTCAAAGGTAATTTTCAAGTAGATTTGACCACTGGAATAGTACATTGATGGACAATGTTCTTCAATAGAAGGAAATCTTTTACATTTTAGAGTAAATAAGTGAAATCTCAAAGATAAGTCTTTCACTTTTAAAAACAAAAACAAAAAAAAAAAGGCAAAAACATATTCTTCAAAAACTTGCTCATGACAAAGGAAAATGACTTAATTCATCAGGCTAGAGCTTCTAGTGTCAGTCCAAGATCAGCCCTTTATCAAAATCTGTTTCATAGATTTTAATTATCTTAGTCTCATAGTACTCAGCTACTCTCCCTAAACTGCATGAGCATTTCCTGAAAATATCTAAAACCAGTAATACTTTGACTCTTACTACAAGTTAAGAGTCCTTTAAAAAAAACCCAAGGGATTAAAAAACAAAACCAACAGGCAAACATTAGTGAAATAACAAAGTCTGTTCTAGAAGTCTGACAGCCTGGTTCTACCATGACACTGATCACAAATCTAGAAGTGAACATTGTGAACAAAAACTCACTTATGTTTTGCACTCAAGAAAACATTTAAAAGAACAGTGGAACAAGATAAAAAGTACCAAGTAAAAAGTTTGGATCTAAGAGAGAAAATCTTATGATTATATCTTTAAGGAGAATCCTTGTTAAATGGAGAGTAGAAAGAAATGATGGAAGTACTTAACAGTCTCTGTAGGACATTAACAGTAAAAACTGTATAAATAACTCTACATCCTACTAATGTGAGAATATAAATAATAATTGCATTTAGAAAGCAGTCCTATTCTACAGTCTGTTGTGCTAAGAATCACTAAGCAACAGCTGAACTTTAAAGCATTACTTTTCATAGTAGTGATATATGAGGAATTATTAAATTGACTACATTTAACAATAAAAAGAAAAGTTTTTTTGAAATACAATGTGCTGTGATAAAAAGAAAGTTTGCTTGATTACCTTGAAGATTCTTCCTTCAATACATCTAGCTGGGTCCTTACAAATCTCAGAAACAATGTATTGGTATAATGTGAACAATGGTAAAATCTGTAGGAAAATATTAGGTCTTCTAGTTATAAATGTCATAAAGGGCACAATTATATAAATGTGCATTGCAATTATGTATCACAAATATAGAGATAATATAGGAGTACTGCTTTCACTGCCGCATACCACCACTACTTCTCTTTCGCTCTACAAAGGATGAATGTGTTAAAAAGTTCTTCAGCTGACTAAAGCTAACCCTTTATACTATCTTATATGTGATTCACAATGTAGAAAGTGAAGTTTCCTCAAATTACTCTCTGTGTTCAAGGTGGGTTTTTTTTTACTACACCATTAGTGAGTAAACCTACTGGAAAGATGTTGATATCAAGGGATTTCTAAAACTGCATTTTATTGCCATAATTTTTTCAGTATAAGTAACAGAATAATAGAATTCTGTAAGCTTCATAAAATAAACACAATGAAGTTCTGCAACTGTCTAAGTGAAATGATACCAATTGTAAAATAATCTGGATGGTCATGAGGCTTATTGACAAATTTACTTTTGTTCACTTCAAATTGAAAGTTTTTGTAGGGGCAACTAACAAAAAAACATTTTAAAACTGAGTTCTAGTAAAGTGTACAATCACTGTATTCATTATTATATAGTATTTCAGAAAAAGCAGATTCTTTCCTAACAGATGTATTTGTTTATTGAAAATGAAAGAACTTCAAAAATTGAATTAATGTTCAGCTTTTACAGTTTTTTTTTCTTCACTTTAAAATGTCCCCAGGCTTAGAAAATGCTAACAGCATTGTTACTGTTTTGTCAAATGCACTTTTAGTTTTCATAAAGTAGCTTGATACTCCTGAATTTGGATTACAAATGCTTGAGGTAAATGTTTTAATTTTACCCATATAGTTTCCAACTGATATTTGAAGTAGTTCAACAAAATTAGGCTTTGAAGTCGTATCGTTAATAAAATTTGAATCTTGATGTATTTCAACTTAAGCGTCAAATCAACTTAGTGCCCACCATCTGAAACACTCCCACACATGAAGCATTCAGTGGAAATGAAGCTCTCATCCTGTTGAAACTGCAATTGCTTTGACCATGATCTATGACCTGGATCTATATTTTGCTTGTGCATGGCCATGTGAAGCAAGCAGTCAAATTAAGTGTCCCTGCCTCCAGGTAACTGTCTGCTCCTGGATCTCACTTGAGCTCCTATGGGAGATCACTATGGTGAAGGCAGTTAGACAAAGCTTAGTAACAAAGCGAACTCCAGTAAAGCAGGATGGGAAGAAGAACAGCAGGAGGTAAGGCAGACACTTAGCCTGAAGTTCCAGAAGAAATCAATCCAACAAATGACTTGCTGAAAAAAAAAGGGGTAACATCTTGCTGCCTTCTCTCTACCTCCTCTTCCATCTACATCCCCTAACCTTTTCTTACTCCCCTGCTGCCAGCCACGCGATCTTTTCCCCTCCCTTGCACTGGCTCTGCCACTTCCAGGACCTTCTGTAAGTGGATTCAACTCATTAAAGCAAGAGAAAAGTACCTAGTTTTTCTGCTGGGGAGTTTTCTATCATGCTAAGAGTTGATTCATAGAGGTATACAATAATCGCCTGATGTGAAAATCTGTTAGAGCATACGGGACCAAACAGGAACAGAGGTAGAATTGCACTTTTTTCAGTTCTAGTAAGCAATTCAACCTATTTATTCCAATGTACAGCACTGTACTTTTGAAAGAAGCTGGATTAAAGTGGAAGTGGTCAGTCATTACATGGAGGAAACAAGCACATGATCAACATAAGAGGGAAGCTGTAAAAACACTCCATACAGAGGAATGAGAGAACATGAGAAGGAGAAAGGCAGAAGGGACTTTTATTTACAGTATGTGAAAGGAAAATTATTGAAAGCATTCTGGGCATACTGCATTTAAAGTAATTCTCAGTACAGTGTATTTCAAACTGTATATAATAGGAAATTTCCTCTAAAATTCCTAAGCTAAATGGACAATGCATTGTCATCTTCCTGAATAAGCAAGTACCCTGTATATTCTAAAAACTGTAGGCAGCAAGCTATACCTTGCCTCTATCTCCGTGCCACAGAATCTAACCATACAGGTATTTTGCTAGAGCTTCTGAGGTATCTCATAAGTACACCCACACAGAAAAAATAAGACTTGATGTTTTAAAATACATTTCCAGAGTATAAAAATAATACTTACTATTAAATTGTGTTTTGCACAATGTAGTTCAAACATGACGAAATTCAGACTTGCAACTACAGTAGAGATATCTGCTCTGTAGCGATCAGAGAACAAGTCGATACCAGGAATAAGCATATTTGTTTCATATTGTGCAAAGTCACAGTCAGATGTCGGATGAGGAAGAGAAGCACTAAACAGGGTCTGAAATAAATAATAATGAACTACTTGTGAAAAGAGGTATAGGCATTAGTGAAACACGATAAAACTCCAACCCTTGAGACTCATAAATGACTTCATAAGGGAAACTCAGGCAATGTTTTCAGTATCCCATTGTATCCAGAAAAAACTATAAAAAATCTTTTTAGAAAAAATGCTTGATGTGTGAACTTGATTGGGAAAAAAAAAAAAAACAAAACAGGCTGTAAATAGTCTAAGGACAATATTTCATAGAAGAAGTAAAGGAGAAAAACTAATCTAGGTGTAGAAAAATAATCATGGAAGATTCCTCAGCAAGTACTCTTCAGGTAATAAAAAATCTTCCTAAAGAGCCAATGGTGTAGAAACACCAAGTTAAAGCAACACAAATAAATCTCTGGAAGCACTGGAAAAAAACTAATAAATCACTAGGTGTTCTCACAAAGACTTCTTAGATAATTCTTAGGGTAAGCCTCTGATCGGCAGACAGAAAGAGCTTAATAATGTATTCAAACATCTCCATGGTCAAGTAAAATGCAGAGGAAAAATTTGTTGAGATGATTCTGGGGATGTGTTGAAACATGTCTTTACCAGTCCGAAGATGTTTCATGGAAAATGTCTTCCATCAGAAGAAAACTCTTTTGATTTTCCCCACAAGCTAAGCAAGCTAGTTTGATTTTACTTAGTCTTAAGCCCTTGCCCCACCATCATCTCAGCTGTCACTTCTGGGAGAGCTCCTGACTTTAAAGCCAGTTAAAAGCTAGTTCCACCCTAGTTCTCCTTTAACTAGGTCAGCTAGTGCAGCTTAAATCATATAATTTAAAATTGGCGTGAACTTTAAGGAAGTAATTTAAATGTTCCTCCTTTAAAAAGGGAGGAGTGCTAACATTGTCTCTGATGTTGGAGATTCCTTCCCAGTTGTGTTTATCTTGTTGTAACTAGCAATGATATGCTAGAGAAATATGCATTTATACACTCAGATCTGAGATATTAACAAGCCTAAAGCCTATGCCAGAGGTGGAATTTAAATAAGGTTATAAAATCTTTCCAAATCTAGGAACAAATCATGGGCTTGAACTTCGCAAGGTACAGTGACAGTAATTGATTATATTTTTCAACACACTGACCCTGCAAGCTGCTCCTATCCCAATTAATATCAGACCCACTTCAGTCAAGTCACAATTATTTCTACCATCATACAACTGGAACAAACGCTTACTACTATTTCTGTCAAAAGGAGGAATCAAAATTGTTCAGTTTTGTATGACCAGCAATTACAGTGCTAGAAGCTAGTTAAAATTCTCCTTTACCTTTGTTTCTTCAACTTGTTCTCCCTTCGCTGAACTTAACGAGATTTTAAATGTGGCCTAGCACAGGTCACACAGTCACAACCATGGCTGCTGGCACAAGATGTTAGAAAGTGGCATTGGTTTGTTTTGGCAGAAGCCAACTAACTTCCTGATGCTGGACTGGGATGAGTAAGCATTGGTCCCAGTGGAATATGACTGGCAGAATACTTGCAGTTCTTTTTCCTGTATCACTCTTGTTACTGGTATCTTAAAACTTCCTTTTAAGAGTAAACTGAAACCCTTTTTTCCTCTATAGTTGGTTTGTGAAAGTTTGCAAACTTAATTATCTTATTTTCTTTGTAAATGAAACTGAATCATTTTGACAATCCTCTATTTTTAGAGCAAGCTTCTTATACAGCTGAGCTTTTAGTATTACAAACCAACATCTTTCACTGCTAAAAAAGATTCAAAAATTTTTTTTTCTAAAGTGTCTGTTCTCCTGGTTGAAAATTTATGACAATCTCTGAAGACTCTGCACAGATCTGACAGAGAGCACTCTGCTATTGTTGATGCCATCCAGCTCTTCTTGAGCAGAACACTTCAAGAGAGGAAAAATATATTTGACTGCCAAATATTTTAGCCATCTTCACTTTTCAGTATTTCATTATTTCTCTGAGACACTAGCCTCTTATTGAAGTGATAATTTTTAGGCTATAATACAGGAATAATGTTAAAAAACAGAGAATAAAAACATCTAATCTAATGTGCATAAATTGTCAACTGCCTCTGATCTCCAGTTTTCCTTTACAATCAAAATGAAAAGAGAAATCTTCTAATAGAGGGTTATTGAGATTTAAATTTAAGAAGCAATTTGTCAACTTCAGGAATTCTAACTGAAATTGTATTCTTACCTTAAAAAGTATAGCAGAAAAACAGCAGTATGTAGTTCTTAATCTCCTCTTTGATGTTGTTACATACCTAAAGTACAACAAAGAATAAGAAATGTGAATGTGCCCATCAATATAAATTATTCAAACTGTTTTTAATCTAGTATAATAATGATACTAACACAATGTAGATGTTTTCCATATTGGAAAACAGCTGCCTGTTCTGTAGGTAGGTGCTCGGCCATGCCATGCAAAGAAGCATTTGACCAAAGACACATCTAGACAAAGGGACTTTCTAGATTGTCTTTAAAGGAGAGAAACAGGCGATCTAAGTGCAAAATTCATCTCATACAAAACTAGAAAGATAAAAGAGGTCAAGCAACTCACATCTTAAAGTGTATTTATTTCCATAAGGAAGCCTAAGATAATTAGCACATATGGACTTTCACATGGTAGGTGTCTAGCTAGATTAAATGAATCCCCCACAGTACCTCATCAGAGTTTTAAACCATCCTGGTAGCAGAGTACTCCTCTGATCTATAATATTAGAAATCTTTAATACAATACTAGAATCCTTTAATCTGCATTTTACAGCCTGAGACTAAGTTGCTCTAGAAAGAGGAGCTCAAGGGAAAGATGTTTAACAGCCCAAGTCAGGTCTGAATAGAAAAGATCTGCCTGAAGGAGAAGCCGAGAGGATAGCTCCCTTCAGATCCCGGACAGGATTTGGAATGGCCATATTAGTGGTAAGGGGATAGTATACGGTGCAGCAAATATGTGCCACAAGCACCTGTAAAAGCAGGTAGGGATTGAGTCTTGCCTCATTGGACCTGCCACTGCACCACAGCTCAGAATTAGAAGAGCTGTGGTTTAGAATCAACTTAAACTCACTCCTTTTCCTCTTGGGTGCTAATTCTGAGTGTGGCAATGCTGTTGCACCCATGCTAATACTTTCAAAGCTACCTCGGTTTACAGATATTTTACAATGCTATTAATATGACCTGCTTCTCAGGTAAAACAGTTTACTCAGATGAAACTCTGTCCTTTCATGGGTATAATCCTTCTAGAGTCATTTAGCGCTGGCTTAGATATTTCTAAATTTTATATTTTGTACACTTTTATATTGTACAATACATTGAGGAACAGCTCAGAATTACATCCATAGTGTTTTACCAGCAGTCAAGGAGCACTGGACAGAAATATTTATTGATGGTAGACAGTAATTCAAATTTCATTTAGTTATAATTCACCAGAAAATAAGTACTTTAGGCAGTAAATCTGCCCTCAAGGTACATTAATATTTAATATGTGCAATGACTTGGGAGATGTGACATTTCAATTGAAAATCAATATGACTGTAAAATCCTTGCACTTATGACTTTTTATCATTTCATTTTATTTCAATGATCTCTCCATATAATATACAGCTGCAATTATGATCAAAGATGACCATTCAAGAAAAGGGAACAAACAATATTCTCCAAAAGAGCAACTTTCTTCCTGAAAGGAATAATTCCTCTGCTTTTAATGAGTCTTTTTTATAGCAACTTCTTAGTGTTTTTAAATTAATTTCAAGTCATCTACTGTCCTGGATGATCAAGTTGTTTAAAATATGAAAGAAATACATATATAGATAAAATACTTACTGAGCTATCTTAGCCACTAAGACTGCTGCATGCAAACATCCCCAAACTCCAGCTCGAGAAAGAAATTTCTCTCTAATATCAGTCGATCTTCCAACTGCAAAACAGTCTGTAGCATTTTTTGGAAAACCTAACTCTTGCCAGTTGTTAAGAGCATTGGTAATGTTGAGTGTTTCATCAAGGGCTTGACACCAGTATTTAAAAGCAGCTCTGTAACACATAAAAAACGTTCTCATCATATTGCTGACATTTTCCGAAATGGAAGATAAGACTCACTTCATTTTACCTTTATTGCCTGAGATATAACTAATTCTGAGTAGGTCAAAAACTGAAATAGAGTTTGTACAACACAAAAAGATACCATTCCTTGTCAACAGACTTATTGGCACTTACACTAAAATTAAATTGTCAAGCAACAGATATTACTTCTTAAAAACACATAGAGATGCTTAATTAATTTGCTTTATTGCAATTAGCAAGCTAAGACAAATAAACATTTTCTAGAAAAAAAGCCTCTCAAAATATAGCTAATAGTGAGTTAGAGGAAAGCAGTTATATGGACTTGAGGACAGCACAAGAACTTACAAGACAGTTGAAGAATATATGAATACCAATTAAAAAAATGAAACAATGCTCTTTTTCAATCCAGTAACTATGTACCTTTTGTTTCCAGCATAAAAGTGAAGATTTCCAAGTTCATGTAGAGCCTGAACCTTGAGGTCTCTCTGGTTGTTCATTTCAAGCATTCCTGTTATTTATTTTTTAATCAATTAGGAAAAAATATTGTCACATCATTAAATCAGTTACTGAATCTTGACGAAATTTTGCATGAGAAATAGACATGCATTCCCATGTAATTCAATGCATGAATATTTTTTTGAAAGATTTATTAGGCTTGTATCTTTTACCTTCAAATGTGCAATTTCTTATTTCTACTGACTTTAAAAACAAGAGTAGGATGTATTTATGGACCTGTTTATCTATGCTTTTGTATTTTTGTTTTTTCAGGCCTTTAAATTTCTTCCTCTTCAAGAGAGAAACTGGGAAGAAGGCCATTGGCCCTGCTAAACACCACTGCCTGCATACAGGACAGTAGCACTGTCCCTGGCTCATTTCTGGATCCCTTACTTCAAATAAAACCACTTACAGCATCTGTTGACCTGCTGCACTTCACCTGTTTTGTTAGACAGCAAAACCAGGTAGTAGTGCTGAGCTGTAACTGTATGCGTAAAGCCATACTAGAATGTAAGGTGGAAGCCAAGCAACTAGGTCTTTTATTCAAATGCACAGAATCCGCAAGGTCTGTTTGCTAGGAAAAAAGCTATCATGGAATTAAAATGAATCTGCTGAACATTACAGTAGGTTTTTTATTTGGGATTAATCAGTATAACAGCACTGAGGTAATGTTTTTTCATTAGATAAGATAAGATAACGGTAGAGGTTATGAACCAGCTAGGTGCTTGTTTAGGATCTAATGCAGGTTTTCTGAATCAACAGAAAGAAGGTTGTGTATTTCTGGAAACCAGTTTTCAGACAGTTATAGATGTCTGCCAGAGGAAAGTAACACTGGAATAAAAATATATGAACACAGGTAGGCACAAAAGTATTACATCTTAGCTGTAAACAGAAATTTATGAAAAAAAATTACCAATTGTTTGTTTATAGGAAGAGATAATTACTGAAAGCTGTGACCGTGGTATTGGTTTACTCTCAACCATACTGGAGGAATTAAATTTTTCTTGAGAAAGGTCAGGTGGTGTTGGTAGAAACATCACTTCAGCTCCCACATTAAATTCCAGCCTTCTATGTGAAGAGATATGACTGCTGACTTCTCTTCCAGCATTTTCTAGACCAGAAAAGTGATTTATATGATCAGTTTGGGAAAGTATTAGACTATTTCCAGCACTACAAATATTGCCACACCGCATTACTCAAACAAATAAACAATTCCTGTGTACTCTATTTTTATCTGGTTTCCTATGCTATGATTCTGTCTGTGTGTCTCCTAAGTAAACTCATTGGACATAACTCATTGGTCAGTGCAATCAAATGAAAATATGTGCTCTGTTAGAGAAAATTAACTTGGGAAGATCTGCCAGTCAGTCCTCTGACAGAGGTTTGGCTGCAGACCGATAAGTGACACAGCTACATGAAAAAAAATTATCATCCAACCATGAGACACAAATCATAGGAAATCAGGCTTAGAGCTTGTGCACAATTTTATATATAACTTTATAGTCTATGTTTTTTCTAATTATCAATAGCAACTAAAACTTGAATTAAAAAAAAAAATCTACTCTCTTCTCTGTTTACTGTTTTAACAGCATATACACTTTATTAAGTGAGAAGCACTTCAATAACTAACTCACCTTGTGTGTGTGCAAGAAATAATGAAAGTAGTTTTCTGCTGTGTCTCAATGCTCTGCTGTGATGTTTAGATTTTTGTAGAGTTTCTCTAAAACATTTCAGTGTATCGTTCACATCAAGAGGTACATAAACTAGGGCTTTCGCTCGGCTGCAATCTAAAAGGAAGTAATAATTATGGAGAACAATTTTGCATTACATAAACATACATTTTTTTAGTAAATCACCCTCCAAAACTTATATTTGAACAATTCCTCAACTTGAAAATTAAAATACATTAATGTAATTGTCACCGTTGTTTCCTGTTGGATTATTAATTAAAACAAAATTATTAACAACCAGGAACACTTCTGAGCATTTATAGCTTTTTCAGTGTTACATTTTAGTTGTCACCTGCCATCTATACTCCCTGAATTCCATCTGCTTCAGCTCAGCTCTCTGCTCCGAATTCTGGTGTCTGAAGTCTGGAAACAAATCTTTTACTACAACTGCTCATCCTATTTTCTACAATTACCATAGTTTCTACGTAAGAAACCTGTGAGGTGGTATGCTCTCTCCACTGAATGCATAATATTATCTACTCTTCTTATATACAGCATTATTTATTGTTTAATGACTTTCCTTAGCTGAATTCAACACAAAGCCTTGAGTGCAATGCATTGACATATCTGATATGAGGAACTCTGCTTTACAAACTTCCATTAATGAGTATAATAGTTTAATCCTGACTGAAAAGAACAACAACTGTGGGTAAAAGAGGTGCTTTGTCACCTTATAGTTCAGTTTGTCTTTTGATGCTATCGATCAGTGCAGGTTCATATTAACTTCTGGGTATATTGCTCAATATCCAACAATACTAACAGAAAACTGGGCCAAGACCACCAAGCTCACTCAACATGCTGTAGGTCATCTGGCATCTGGATGAAAACTGCTTTTCTCTGCTTTCAGATACAGTCTGAAAATATTTGGAAAGGTCTTGACAACATTACTGTCCATATAAAATATCAAGAATAATAATTTGAAGACAAAACTGAGTTTATATTAAAAGGAACAGTTTATAGGAGCAGTGAAAGACCTATGATAAGGAGAAAAACAAAAAAATATCCAGTATGGAAAAAAGGAAATGGTTTGAGAGAAAAGAGAACTCACAATACTGAAATGTGCTCTGACCTGTATAATCATTTTTCATCTCAGGATAGGAAAAGTGTTCAGGAAAAACGTGTTCATTAGCAGAATGGGCAACAGGCAGTTGTAATTTCTGCTCTATGTAGTTTCTGCAACTCATCTGAAAAGCAAGTATTGTTTCATGACAATTGAATAATATTCAGAAAAGTCCATGTTTGGTACTTAAAGTTACATATCTAAATACTCAGTCATATGACAAAATAAAAGAGGACTAATTTACAAAGACACCAATGACCCATAACTAGTACCCTTGTCAGCAAGAGGTGAAAGTGTCACACCACCTAAATATTGGATATAACATGTACATGTTTAGATGTTAATGAATTAAACTTGTGTCTTATTTGGTATTTGCCATAATTGTGAGCAACTTGTTGATATTCAGCAAATACTCAACCTTTCTTTGTCTGAGTAAACGCATGCTTGCAAAGAACCCGTCAGTGTAAGTTCAGAGCACACTGCCTGTAAAGCACAATGTAATGCTGCACAGGGATATACAAAATAGCTCTAAGCAAATAAGCAGTCTAACCCTGTCAGAGAAGCAAACTTCCAGACTTCTATAAAGGGCTAATCCAGCACAGACATTTTATTTTGCTAATGTAGTTACATCACTTCAGCAGCAAAAGAACCGGTTCAGAGCTAGTTCTAGACTCTCTGAATGGCACTGCATTGTGAGATGTAGCCATACCCTCCACATTTCTAACTTGATGATGTCTTTTTTCAACAATCCTTATTACTATTAACTAACATCAGTCTTCATTCTGGAAGTTGTCTTTCAAACCTATGATTACTTTTCCACGTTTCTCAGATTACAGCTGTATGTGGTAGTTTGCGGCACTGCCCCTTTTTTAGACAAAGGATGATGTTCTGAATGGCAGGGCCTGAAAGAAGTCAGTGGGGAACAGCCTTCGAGAGACAAGACAGAGCTCCTCAGCTGCCCTTCGCAGCAGTGGCTCCTGAACCCCATGTTCACGGTCAGAACAAACCCGTCTGGAATCCCAAACCCCACTTTCTCCCCTCTCCTTCAAGTCCTGTGTTTATATTAGTAATGCAAACATATTAAAACTATCAGTCATGTGATTGACTTTAGCAGAACTTTTTGGAAATAAACCTTAGGTTAAAAAAAAAGAAAAATCCTAATTTTTAATAGATAATTCCATGAAAAATTTCGAAGCAACAATGTCAGTTTACTAAATGTATAAAGTCATGGCTTTTAATGAGAGGAACTTGCTGAGCAGCTTAGGGTTTTTTGTGGTGATCAAGTTTTTCAAGTTTTTTACTGGTATTGTCAGTGTTTGGGTTAACTCAGTTTGATTAATTTTAGTCTTTAGGAGCAGTGTTCCAATGCAGAAACAAAGCAATCTCTTTGTATTTAATTTTAATTAATCACAAAGATTGCACAATATCCAAATAAATGTTTTCAGTTTATAAAAGCTGCATCAAGAACTAACATGAAATTAGATTTAGGCTCACAATATGGAATGGTTACATTATCCATGGAAGAAATGTCCTCTGAGTCATCAAGTCTAGACCTCTGCTGCTTGGAATCATGTCATATAAGCCTTTTCATGCACTTCAATCAATTACATTCATTAATTTATTATAATTTACTAATTGTGAACATTATGAAACACCATATTAATCTAATCAGTGAAAGTACTTCTCCATGTTTAGTTCACATCAAGAGTCAGTGCCCAAAAACCAAATCTGTGGTTCACCTTGTATGCATTATCAGACAGATATTTTATGAAATGAGATCCATGGCTGTCTGGGCCACTGAATTGCTGTATCCTTTCCAGCAGCTGCCTCTGGGCATACACCAGCAGCGGAGTCACTTGTTCTGTGTATCTCTCACTGGAAAAAAGCAAAGTATAGTAATCAAGTGAAAGAATGGCATACTTAAGTATATAATGTTGCTTTTTAGTTTTTATTAGAGTTTGTGTAACTTACTGTGTTAGTATGTTAAACTGTACAGCTATGTGTACCAGTGCTTCCCACTTCTTCATTTGGTATAACAATTCTATTGTTTTAAGAATCAGATTACATATCCATTTCAAGTCAACCACGTTCACGTCATCCAGGGGAGACTGTGGATGGAGATTAGAACCACCATTCTCATCCTTAATACCTCCTAAACAACTGGGAATGCAGAAGTCTCCTTCAGGATCCACAATCTACAGTGAAGAAACATTATACTACCTGTTATTTCCAAACTTGTTTTTAGGACAAATCAAATTATAAAGATTAGAAAATACTGTAATCCTCTAAAAACTTGTTTCAGAGAATAACTTGGAGATATCAGAATATAACGCAAGAGAAAGAAGACTATCTCTACTGAAGATGTGATAATAAAGAGTATAGTGTCTTAGTAAAAATAATCTTTACCTTAAGAGACCTGCTTGCTTGTAGCTCAATTATCATATCAATGATCACGTCTGATGCCAAATAAAATGGCAACCAGATGGTGTTCCTAAGAAAATCCCTGGTAATGGGAAATGCATCCATATGGGAATGTGAATGGTTAGCAATCAGTTGTAGTTCTTGAGTATAGTTCCAAAGTTCTCGACAGGCATTTTGAAGCAACGTCCAGTGGCCACCACGGTGAGCAAGAACCTATGCATATCATTCAAAATATAATTATACTTTGGAAATACAGAAATTAAAAGCTTCATTCTTTTATTGCAGAGCTTAGGTGTAAGTAATCTTTCAGAATTACAGTTTATGGATCATCCTTAATAACAGATCACTCAATATTTCAATTTATATAAAGCATTACAGAACCTTAATTTGGAAATTTTCATAGAAGCACTAATTTATAATTTAAATTAATTGTTGCTTTTGGTGTGAGGATAAGAAATAAAATTTAATTCACACCACCTACACATGTGTTTTTACTTGTTTTTAGGGGAAAAGTAGTCAGTCTGCATTTCCTTCTGTTTATACTACCAAGGCATTCACTAAGACCTGTAAAGGGAAAGGTAAATCTGCAAGTATTTTCAGAAAGATTTAACAAATATGAGAAGGAAAGTTACACAGACCAAATGAAAAATAAAACACTTACATAAATTATCATATGTTTGATAGAAATATACATTATGATAGATGATATATCTGACATTTCATACACTGTACTCGGACATTTTGCAGAAGATGAGAAATCATTGCTTTGTCCCACTGAAATTTTTTTGAAGTTTCTGAAGTCAGGGTTTTTGTAATATAGAAAGTAGTAAGCATTGTAATGCAATGCTTAGTAATAAATAAAATGTTTAATAAGCAAGCCTGTCTTACCACTGCTCTTCTTAAATGCAAAAAGATTTTTGTAAAATGCTCCAACAAAATGGTATTTGACAGAAACTGGTTGTATTCTTTGGGGGAATAACAGACAGATGTTTCTGCATCGTTTGTTTTTTCAGTTTGAGGAGGATCTGTTCCGCTCAGTTTAATGCTGTGCTCAGAAGGTTTATCTGTACCCGAAGACAAAAAGTTCACTGGTTAAAAATGAGTTAAAGTTCTCAAAAAAATAAAAAAGAAAATGTTATCAGCCAGCTAGGATTTTCCTGTGGCAGCTAAATACTTAAATGTTAGGAAATGCCAATGTTAAGGTTATCATAGTTATAAGGTTATGATATTTAAAATATACGATGCTTTTACTTAAGTGTTGGGAGAAGCAGGGATAAAAACAAATTTGAGCAAAATAATAATGTATACCAAATAGTTTTCAGCCTCAAAGCCAAAACACAACCCTCATAGAAGTTAAGTTTTTGAAAGAAATCATCGTGTGGCAAGCTCCCAAGAACCTTTCTGAAACTGAGGCCTCTTAAAAGGAGAAGTTAGGAAGAAGGGAAGATTTCTGACAAATGCTGTGCTATGTGTAGAATTGCTTTGTTATTTTATCCAATATCAAATATCCTCCAAGGGGAAACACAAAGGTTTATGGTTCTCGGATACAGTAATATCTGAGCTATAGGTTTCAGCAGAAGCTAATTTCAAGCTAAACAGTATTTGAACTGTACGGCAAACTACACACTTCATGAAATTCTTTCATTCAGAAGTGCTGCAAAGGCTAGGAGGTAGTAAACAGGATTTTCATTAGTTTTCAGCAACTTTCAGTGACTCGGTTCTCAGTGACTGGTAAGCATCAAGACAAAAGAATATAACTAAAAGTAAGCTGTTGCAAAGAGAACCAGTGAATCCAACTGCTAGTTTTTGTCACACCTCCTTGGAAAAGGCAAAGAGGATGGCTGATTCTTACCTAAGGAAGTCCTACATGAAATGACAGGAGAATTTTGCTCTTTACAGCTCTGGCAACAATGTGTCCCTGGAAGTGCTATTGAAAAGATCAGGCTTGTGATTTCTTCTTGAGCTTACGGTGTCTAGGCAGACTACTTTCCATTGACTTGTATGTTATCACCAATGCCCGAGGTAATCAAAGTCCTGTATTTCACAATTACCTACAAACAGGAGCCTTCCGGCTCCTGTTGAAACCTCAAAGGATGTTATTGAAAATAGCTGGGATAATAGAACAGTCAAATGTGAAAGCCAGGGAATTGAAGTAAAAGTGGTAGAAGATTAAAAATTGATCCTGAGGTAGCCTCTGCCACAGGAAAACACTGGGGAGCAAACAGTAGAGAAGGAAACCTAAGTTATTCTACTCAAAATTTGAAAGATAATAATAAACTTCAGTCTATTATTTTAAGAAAAACTTACAGAATGACCCAGGATATTATTGACCTGTTAGGAAATCTAAAGGCAACTACAGACCAATTAACAATCAGAAACTGACAAAAATTATCCTTGCATTTAGAATAATCTGGAATATTATCAATTTAATAAGTCTAGGTAGCGTGGCTTCTGCAACCCAAAAGCTAGTATCACTAATTTGTTAGAATTTATAAATTTGTTACTAAAGTATAGGATAAAGAACACTTGATAAAAAGTAACATATTTATGAATACAATAAACAATGCTCAGAGTTATTATAAATACCCCATTATTGACTATGACTTCTTTTATACTAGATATGACAAAAAGAGAAAGTACAGAGGACACTTTCAAAATCCAGACACATCTTCTCTTCAAACTGGCATAAGTGTTTTTCCAAAGGTGATGTGGAGAGATAATGATGGAGGTCAAGACAGAAATTAAGAGAAAGTTAAGTTGAAACTGATTCCAGTTGTGAATCCATTAAAAGTTCTTACAAGTTTGGTTTTTGGTCATTCCTGACGTTTTAAGGAGAGGAGAAGTTGGTGTTCTCACATTATTCTCTATGGCTTCTCTCACCACTACAGTGCCAGAATTATTTAATGAGAATATTTCAGGATCCAAAATATTGTAACTGCAGAATCGGAGAAAAAGAAGAAAGCACAAAAAAAACCCAGATAAAATATTTAAAAGAATTTTGATATACACACACAAAATTCAGTTTCTCCAAAGTGAGTTTTGATTACTTGCCAGTAGCTTTAGGAATCAGAAATAATGAATGATAGCGAAAAGTTATAAGGAACCAAAAAATAGCACAGTATAGTATATCTCAAAAATTTTCATCTGACCAGTCAAGTGAGAAACCAAAAATGTGCATGTCACTGGCCGTATGAAGCAAAGCAAAACTTGTTACATAGTAAATCAATTTGCATTTGGAAGCTGAACTGTTCATATGACAAAGTGACCGATGATATTGTAATTCAGATCTGTTTGCATTATGGCAATAACACAATAATCTATATTAATAGCAATCACTGATAATGCAGTAAGATATACCTGTCCAGATGCTGTGAACCACAAATTCCAATGTTATACTGCTCTCCTAGTTCCTTTTTAAATAAGTTGTAGTGTGCAACTGCCAGATAGATATTCATCTGAGACCTCCAGGGCATCTCTTCAAGACATATTTGATGAAACTCCTTGCGCTTTAAGTAATTATTCACAATTGGTTTCAGCAGTGCCACTAAGGTGCGACGAGCTAGTTTTTGCAACTTTTCCATGCATTTCCTAAACCAAAATATATGAAGTAGCAAAAAGTGAAACTGTGTTTTCTTGAAGCTCTGAAAAAGAAAATAATGGTAAAGATATACAGAAGTATCCCATTGCCTATCTACAGACTTGTATTAACTCAGAAGCACGTGAGATGTTTCTAGCAAAAGGATTTTTGCTGCAGTCATTAAAAGCAATTGTGCTTTCCTTCTTTAAGCGCACTTAACACACACTAAATCCTAGCTTATATTTTACCAACTTCCATAAGATATTTGTCTTAGTACTTACAAAAAGTTTAGCTCTGTGTTTGAAGTTATTTGTACCTGAATCATCCAAACAGATTATTATAGCAAATACAATCTGTTTCACAGAGTCTGCCCAGGAGATTGAAAGTCTACTATGATACTGTAAATTTGGATCATTCTTTTTATTGCTGTGTTTTGGTAGCTAATCATCCTTAATGTGAAGAAAACATTTCATTTCAAATTTGGATGCCTGGCTTTAACTTCCAGTCATAGATTTATCTTTTTTTATGTTCCTTTCTCTGCCAGATCTCTGCAGCCTGACCTCGGTGCCGGGGAAGGTGATGGAGCAAATCATCCTGAGTGAGATCACAAGGCATGTGAAGGACAATCAGGGGATCAGGACTAGCCAGCATGGGTTCATGAAAGGCAGGTCCTGCTTGACCAACCTGATCTCCTTCTACGACCAGGTGACTCGCTTGGTGGATGAGGGAAAGGCTGTAGATGTGGTCTACCTGGACTTTAGCACGGCCTTTGACACATTCTCCTGGAGAAACTGGCAGTTCATG